GTAATTCGAGCTGACTTGGCTCGTTAATTAATGGAACATGTTTCTAGCTCGAGGTCGACTCGTTTACCGAAATTAACGAACCGAGTTCAAGCCTTATCGAGCTAGGCCCATTCGAGCTACTTGTTTCGTTTAACGGCACCAGCTAGCTCTCATGGGCAGAAAACTTCTTCTGATTTGTTGGCAGTCATGAGCTTCCAATTTTACTTCCACTGCAAGAGGCAGAACAATTTAAATACTTCCGTTTTAATTTGTTATGCACAAACATGCATGGTGTAATTGAAATTTGAAATATCACCATGTTTATGATGAATGATTCCAATGGAAGATAAAAAAGGTTTACTACAGCATCATGTCTAGGAAATAGAAATACTACTAACATGGAACAATCTCTTTAGTGGTGGTTGTGGTGACGAATGGGCTCTTCTTATCGTCTTGGGACTGTGGAGTTTCTAAACTCAGAAACATTCTTGCAATAATCCCTCCACAAATTACACCAACAATTAAGGCAGTAATTCCGAAAATCCCTCATCCTTGAATTTCTTGTCTCTTGTCGAGCGTCGACAGAAAATGACTGCAGCAGAAGAAACGGAAAACGGGAGGCAGCAAATCTCGCATTGTTATGCGGCTTCTATACACTTTGAACTTTTTGACTAGGAAATTTTCGGTTGGTCTTCTTTTGTTCCTTTCATTTTTCAAGTAAAATACAAAAATTAGGAGGACGTTTTAGACGAACTTATAGTGATTCTTACAGATTATATGTAACAGCATTTCGAGTTCAATGTGTGCTATCCGTAACTGTGAGACTTTAGCAGAGTTACAAGAAAAGTTTTCGCTGAAACTGAGTGCTTTCAACCATAAGGCTACAACACCATGTTAGCATGTTAGAAGACTATGAAAAGAGAAAAAGAAATAATATAATTCTTTCCCAAAAATCTACCGAACATTTATCTTTGTCTAATAAGTCTAACATTGATCAACTAAATAAAAGATGCTTGACTTGACTGAACGTATATAAAAACAAAATCGAAACAAAAAAAAAAAAAGAGGAATGATGGAGATATGTGTTGAAAGAAATGCTGTTTTAATTAACTTTTTTTTTTGTATATCAATCTAATGCGAGAAAATGGAGGAGGAAGGATCCCATGAGTTGACTTGTTTTAAACTATATTTGTCTTTGTCCTCTTTTCTTGGTTACCTAAATCTTCAACGCTGATTATACTCATTAAGTTAGAACTCCAGTTGGAGCAGATTGAACCCCAAAACCGCTCTAACGAATCATTCCTGTCATGCTTAAGAGTTAGTATTATGTCAGATCTAATTAATTAATCAATCGCTTGTAAAAAGAAAATGAAAAGGAAATCTCAACTTAATTGGATGAATTTTTTCTTTCTGGATGGAAGATTGGAGTAGATGGGAATGATTTTAAGCCATAAAGGCATAAACATGATGGGTTACCCAATACTTGACTTTCTGACAATTCTGTCACCCTTGCTTTTCGATCTTAATCCAAGATTAAGGGCTTACTATATATGAACGACGTATGAGGCAACGTTTGAGAAACTTACACGTTAACATGACCATTAACAGTTACTCCCTCCGTCCCACTTTGATAGTTCTGATTTTTTTTCACACACAGTTTAAAAAAAAGTAGTTAACTTTGTTTGGAACAATCAATTTAGGTAGTTAATTTCCTAAAAACCCTCATGTTAATTAGAGTACAACTTTACGGGAACTTGAATTGATGGTAAAAAAAGAATCAACTCTCATTAAATGGGGTAGATTTACAGTAACAACAACTTACATTGAATAAGGATATTTTAGGAAAATTAAAATACAACTATATTTTTCAATTGAAAAGTGGACAGTAATTTGGGACAGACGAAAAAAGAAAAACAGGATTATCAAAGTGGGGAGGAGGGAGTATATCATAGTAGTAACTAATTTCTTGTTAGATGATTAATTAGTTCATAAAGCAGTTAAAGCAATTCCACATTTTCTTTTTCCCTTTTTATCCTGTTTTGCTCTCCTTTCCTTGTCGTGGTCGTCGGTGCGTTTGCATTTCCTACGCCGCATTAGCCTGCACAAAGCTCCACGCTTAAAATATGGCCAAAATTCATTAAATCTGGTAAACAGATTCTGAGACAATAAAGTTGACCCAACTTCTTTTAGCACTCCTCATTCTATATGGCTTTGTTCTCAATTGCTTTAGATTTTGTAAAATGTGATTATAAAAATTGATTATATAGAATAATCAGAATTAGTAAAAGGTACTCTTTAGATGATTATGTATTTTAACTGTTTTTTTATCATTTAAAAAAAAAATCTATAATCAGAATACAAAAACAATTGAGAATATCACAATCAGTTAAAATAATTAAGCAAGAACTAGCGCTATAATTTTTTTTATCACTTTATTTATGTATTGTTTTTGAGAAAACAAAAAACCTACATATTTGCTGCAGGGAGGCTATGATCTAGCAATCTTGTCACAGTGCATTATATAGTTGTATCATCACTCACATTCTTGAGATGGTGGACCCTTGGTTGTTATGTTTGATCATAAGCTCTTAAGTATTAATTATAAACAGTTTCCCTTTGGCCTTTAATCGATGGTGTCTGATTCTGAGTTTTGACGATCAAGTTTGTAAGTTTTAAGAGGTATGGATTGATTTATGGCTGGTGTGAAAATAAGTAATTTGCAATTTATTCATTATCTTTTTTTTTTTTTGTAAAAATATTAAGCTCTAGCTAATGAAAAATGTATCAAGCACTTCCTTGCAAAGAGACCATATGTTCAATAACTACAAAGATCACATCAGAAATTAATCCACAACTTCATGAACAATTTCAATTCTCACCCCAAAACTCTTGCTATGCATCCCTCTATATATATAAGAAAAAGCCAAGTTACTTACTGTTGCAGCACATTTTTTTGACATATGTATTGCACATTTTTTTGACAAGTAGAATCTTGGTCATTTTAACTAAATTTTTCCTTCCCTTTTTGATTCAATTGGGCACGAGGATTAAAATATTTTTTCTCCGTCAGAAAATCAACTCCGTCTCTTCTTCTTTTTCTTGCGACAATTGTTGTCATCTCTCACCTTTTTCATTTTTTATTTTTTAAAACTAAGCTAACTAAGATTGTTGCCATGTTCTTTTTTTTCGTTGAGATGATGAGCTATTTAACAAAGAGAAGTTTTTATTATTTTTAAATCGTTTTTATCCCATTTTACATTTTTTTTCTTTCTTTTTTTTTTCTTCATCTCTAATCTCTCATGTTTGCTCTATTCTTCAATCATAATGTTATAGTCAATTGGCATTTGTTTGTTAAATTTATAGGATGACGTTGTTATTTGGTATTTCTTCATGGATAAAAGGTGAAATATTAAAATATGTAAAAACAAGAAAGATGATAAATAATCTACTATTACATTGTCCTCCTAGTCCACTAGTTAATAAATCTAAAATTTCAATTCTCACCCCAAAACTCTTGCTATGCATCCCTCTCTCTCTCTCTCTCTATATATATATATATGTGTGTGTGTGTGTGTGTGTGTGTGTGTGTGTGTGTGTGTGTGACAGGTGTGTGGAATTTATATATCTTAATTAAGTGTTGATTGGGCAACCATGAGGAAAATCCTAAAAAAAAAAAAAAGGAGAATTCCTGGGCCCAGTAATATTTGTCTCCATCTCTGATATCCCAACACTTGTTTAAGCAATGCGAAATGAAATCATGCTTGAAATCTGGAGTCATGTGCAGTGGCTCGTGCTTAAGGCATCAAGGCTAGGACTCCCTCAATAGATTTCTCTAGTGGCTCAGCCTCACATGAATCTTGATCCTTTGGGACTTTTCTTTAGCTGTACGTTAACTTTTAGGTAATCGAATAAATGCCTTTTTAATTATCTCTGATTTTTGGAAAATATAATTAAATATGCATAACTTTCACATGGAGTTGCACTTACGGCCGGTTACAAAGTATGCAAAATAATTGTTTGGAAATATGGCCAAATACCGGATGTAGTGTGTTTTGGCCATCTAAATAGGTATGCAAATCAGGGAATAATCTAATCAATTCCCACATTTTGTCAAACAAATATTTCCAAACAATTCGATTGTTCTATTCTAAAATTTTACCATGCTTGAGATGTGTAATTTGAATTTTCAAATTTTCTATTCTTCTATCCAATGCTACAACGGCATTCTCCTAACTTACCAAAATGAACAATTACCATAAGCATTTATCAAGGATGCTAGTCTGAAAAACAAGAACTAAATATTTAACCAGTGCTTTAGGACACTCGTTGAGACACGTAATATTTACCTAACTTACCATATATATGCACACTAATAATTATTATTCTCTATTGAAAGACACGTAATATTCACCTAACTTACCATATATATACATACTAATAATTATTATCCTTCATTGAATTTAATCCTACCTATCCTTCCCTTGTATTTATTTACTTTTCCTAATTAATCTTATATTTTCAAAAAATATAACACCTAAAATATGTCTTAACAATTGCCCTGTGAGCACCGTTAGATAGACTGATATTTCAATATCACATTTAGCAAAGATGCTAGTTTAAATATAACATTGCTTTATAAACTTTATCTTGGCCCAAAAAAAAAAAAAAGAAAAATCCAATTGTAGCTGCCGCTGTATTGACAATATGCAACAATTTAGAAGCTCTGCATCTGGTGACATGGCACTTACCATTATTTGTCGGTCGCCGGACCAAAAGAGGCTGGCGGCCGGAGAAGGACCAATATGCAATTTTTTTCTGTTTTGCACAAAAAGACAACTTGTTCTAGTAGTTGGAACAGTTAACTAGTTAAGTCCTTCTCTTTTTATATAATTAAAGATTGACTGGGAAATATGACATTTTAGGGAGAATACATGGGACACAAACCATTGGTAAAAAAAATGGCCGGGTAAATACTTTGTAATGCTCATCAATCAATTAGACCAAAACTGACTATAAAATCTCCCTCTTCTCTCTCTGCATTACTTGCTCCACTCCTCAACGCTAGCACTGCTACTGCTGCTAGTTTTGCCTGCTTCTCTCCCACTCCTTCCAAGTCCCCTCATTTTCTCTGCAGAATGCCTCATTACTGCTCTTTCCCTCCTCGATTTTGAGATAACAGGAAGAAACAGCAGTATTGATTGGCTCAACCTGCAAAAGAAAGGGCTCCCAAAACACCCCAAAATACCAAAAACACAAAAACAGCAAAGAAAAGAGCAGAGATCTATATATAAGCTTTTTATCCTTACCCCTTTTTAGCTACAGTTCAACTGCTTCTCTTGATCTTCAACTAACCACATTGCTGATAATTCATCAGTGTGTGACTGTGTGTTTTCTTCCTTTGCGTGTATAAAAAGGGAAGGCAGATCTATTTAGAGTGAGAGTGAGATAAGGCTCCCCTGTTTCAGCTCCCCTGTTTTTCCTCTGTTTTTCTGAGGGAGGGTCGAAAGCTTAGAAAATGCCAGAAATTTCCGCAGCAAATTTGATACCGGAGTCCTTTGACTTTAGGGGGTCAACAGCGGATATTGCAGGGCAAATTGGGCTGATTTGGGAGTTGATTAGAGCACCATTGATTGTCCCATTATTGAGGCTTGCTGTGTATATTTGCTTGGCCATGTCCCTCATGCTTTTCATTGAGAGGCTTTACATGGGAATCGTGATCATTCTCGTGAAGATTTTCTGGAAGAAGCCTGAGAAGAGATACAAATGGGAGCCAATGCGGGATGATTTGGAGATTGGAAATGCAGCTTTTCCAATGGTTCTTGTTTCAAATCCCCATGTTCAATGAGAAAGAGGTTTGTCTTGCACGACTAGCAGTATCATATTTCTTTCCATGATTTTTTTGCTGCATTGCTGGTGACTTTGCTCTTTGTTGGTATCTGGGATGCTCTGGAAAAAGCGGGAATTTTATCGGTTGTTTATGAAATGGTTTTATTTGGGTACAGGTCTACAAGATCTCCATTGGAGCTGCATGTAACCTTTCCTGGCCGTCCGACCGTATTGTGATTCAAGTTCTGATGATTCAACTGACCCCATCATTAAGGTAGTCAAAAATTTAATGACAACTCGGACAACATCCAAATTGGCCTCAAAATTTTGGTTATAATTTGGAAATGTCCGTTAAATCAAGTTTAAATTGCAGCTTGGGATCTTCTCATTGAATCTCCATAATTTCACAAATTCTTCCATTCAAAGTTTTTTTTTTTTAAATCCAATTTAACTTTTGAATATATAATAATCAATCATTTTGTGCCCTTTTAAAAATTCTTGCAATATTTTGTTTAGCTTCTTGAAATTTTGATGCACTGCACTAAGGATAAATAAATCTTCGCGCGTCAAAAACAGCATTATTTATTATTTTTTGGGTCTTCGTGTTATGTAATTCAATATTCCTTAGATCCAGGCTCATTTCCAGTTGTGGTCTCTGTTATTGCACAATCCCATATTACACTTTCTCCCATAAATTCCAAGGACACTACTATCTATCTTTTTGACGTTTTGCCTAGTTTTCATACTCACACACCAATTGGAATGAATGTGGCAAGTTTTTTGTCTTTCTTTTTAGCGACTAGTTCCAAAATCCAGTTAATCTTTCTGTTGGAATTAGTAAAATCTTTCTTGAATTTCCAATTTTGAGGCCTACTACTTTGTGGAACAGAATTATTGCATCTTCCACTACAAATTTCCATAATGTTGTCATTGATGGGCTCCCTACCCTCTATCAATGCCGCAGGATATGGTTGAAAAGGAATGCCAAAGATGGGCTAGCAAAGGCATTCATTGCAGGTACCAAATAAGAGAAACCAGAGGGGGTACAAGGCCGGAGCTCTTAAAGAAGGGTTAAAGCATGATTATGTCAAAGATTGCGAATACGTGGTCATTTTCGACGCAGATTTCCGGCCGGAACCGGATTTTCTCCGGCGAGCCATCCCTTTTCTCATGCACAACTCTGACATTGCTCTTGTCCAAGCTCGTTGGAGGTTTGGTAAGCTCTCTTTCTTCTTCTTATTATTATTTGTAAACTTTTTGGCATTTTGGCACATTAGCTAGTAGAAGCATGTTTTTCGAGTATAGTATTTTCTTCGGAATATTAGGTGAGACTCGATGAGTTAGATAGTTTACTCCTGGTATCTATTTGCTGCCCTGCCGACCGCATTATTCATTAAAACACTTAATTAGGCTTCATTTAGTTGTAATTAATTAAACATATTGACCAAATTAAAGACCTTAATTTTGGAACACAAAAGTGTCGGTGATAGCGTAGCTACGCTACACTTCTGCGATACTAGCGACAACCATACCTTTCGTTCATTCAGTCAAATAGGCTAATGTGTTACGTGTATCCATGCTCCGCCTCCATCAATTCTCTATCTAATAGGGACCCTTCTCTTTTTTCTTTTTTCTTTTCTAGTATTTCTTGATGGATTTGTTTTGTTGTGGACTGCATGGTGTGACGAGGGTCCATGGCAATTCAATTAGTCTCCAGGTGGGACCAGCCAATTGCGAAGATGCGACCGTACATCACGGTGTTAGACCAACTAAATCCACGTCAAACTCATCTCCCATTCCTTTCCCCAGACTAAACCCACCATTCTTACTTTTATTTTTATTTATATTTATACTCCTCCTCCCTTTATATCCTATTTTTATTGTCTCAACAACTAAATTTACAGAAAAAAAAAGAACTCACTAATAATAATATTCAGAGTCAGCGATACTAAATCCATGGACATGTCCTACCCGTTTCACTACTACAAACCATTAATTAAACTTTTTGTCTTATAATATAATATTTTTTACACTTAGAGAATACATACAATTTAAGAAATTATGCATTGAAACTCGGAATCATTTGCATTCCAAACATTGCACCTGTTACAGAAAAATACAATGGAGGGTTGGGTTGAGTGGTAAGGCGAAAGGAATTATAAGTCGGGAGTTTTGAATTCAGGACCTTCCATTTACAAAAAAAAAAAAAAAATTATAGAAAATACTGGATTTCAACGTGTGACCACAATTACTTATGACTGACACACCAAAATCTCGATTAAATTTGAGAGACGCGGAGCAAATGCTTATTTTCGCGAAGATACATTTATTAAGTTTAATTAGTCATCAATAGTGCTGAGTGATTAGCCAAAATCTTTCGATTTTTTAATTTTCTATACTATCAAAGGGGCAGTAGATAGATTTGACAAAGAAGAGACACCTAGTAACCTTTTTCTTAACTGCAAGACACAGTTTAATTGGGTATTAAGGGGGTAAAGAAATGAGTGTTGTCTTGATTGTCCCTTCCAAAACTGGCCATCTTACTCAGCAACGTGAGACGTGTCAGTATAAGTCTCGTCTAAGAAAGCGAAGTATCGCTGTCACTAATTGTCCTCTAATTTGACTTAATTATCCGACTTTCAGCTGATAGTAACAGTTCCTCCCCCGCATTAGCCGGCATAAAAGTGCTAAACTCTCGGGGTAGTTTTGTCATTTCATTATTAAGTAGGAAACAACCATTAGATTTGCTCTTCCATCCATGGGATTGAAAGCGCATCGCGCATGAAATCAAAAGCAAAAGTCCCAAATACGAGCAAAAGTAAATTGGTCAACAGGGAGGGCCACCGAAGGACAGATTTGTCATTTCATTGCCTCCACGTGCCCTTATTCTCTGCTCAGTGCCCCGAGTTTAGAGTTTCTGCAGTTGTACTGTGTGCACCGACGACGCCTGCACCTCAGGTGAAAATGGTAAATTCACAAAAAGTTAAAAAAAAAAAACTGCTTCGTGGGACTACTAATGACGTGGCAACGCTTCTTAATAATTGTTTAGTCACGTGATGTCAGAAAAATAACGTTCTTTAGTAGCATATAATTGGGAGTTGGGACCGGATCTGGTCCATCTGGACCGCCTTGTCCACATACAATTCTTTGCCCACGCCACATGATCTTCGGAATTTTTTTTTTCTTTACTCCACCAGAAATAGGATTGCTAATAAATAAATATCCATGTTAAATACTAGTAGTGTATGTTTCTAGGTTTAATTATAATTTTCTTTTTATAAAAAATTACTTTAAGAGTAAAAAAAAAAAAAGAAAAAGTCTCCAATTCAAGCCTTATTATTATTATTATTATTAATTGTTTGTATGATTGAATTTGCAGTTAATTCTGATGAGTGCTTGCTAACAAGGATGCAAGAGATGTCGCTGGATTACCATTTTACAGTGGAGCAAGAAGTGGGATCATCTACTCATGCATTCTTTGGCTTCAATGGTAAGTGAAGTATTATTGGTAGGCTGCAAATGTTGTTGGGACTCTTTTCCAGTCAATTTGTACTATTTATTTGCATGACTTTTTAGTTTTTGCTGGGAATCAAGCTGATTTGGACGTGCATTATGCATCATGATTAGAGTTACATTATTTTGTTGATCACGCCAAGCAATGGAGCTGGGCACTTTTGCCAATATGCTCTTGTTCTGCTGCTGCTGCTGCTGCTGCTTGGTCATTGCAAATTGTTGTTGACATAAGAATTATACGCTCGGTTACTCCAAAATAATAATAATAGAAAAAGAAATATTTGAACAGTAAATATTCTCTGTTTGGGTTTTTTTTTATTATTTTTTTAATTTTTTAATAGGAGAAGGGTGAGATTTACGGGAAGGAAAAAGAACTATTTTGATTTATTCATAGTAGTATGAACCATTTTCAGTACTAAATGACATAAGAAAGTGTCGAAAGATTTTCTTGAACCAAGAAGTTTTATTTACTTATTTGCAGTCAGTTGAGTTGTATTGAACTTTCAATTTGGTAATGTTGTGAAATATCAGGTACTGGTGGTATATGGAGAATAGCTGCTATCAATGAGGCTGGCGGGTGGAAGGACCGGACGACAGTGGAGGATATGGATCTTGCTGTCCGAGCAGGTCTTAAAGGCTGGAAATTTGTGTACCTCGGGACCTGCAGGTTTGTCATTTTTTGTGTTGGTAGCTGTGAATGTTGCCAATTGTTTAAGGGGTATGATTTTGTTTTTGTTTTGCAACAGGTCAAAAGTGAGCTTCCAAGTACATTCAAGGCCTTCCGTTTTCAGCAGCATCGTTGGTCGTGTGGTCCAGCAAATTTATTCAGGAAAATGGTGATGGAAATTGTCAGAAATAAGGTGAATTTTCTGATGAGGCCTAAGAATATTTATTTTTTAGACAGGAATGAGCTACGTTAATTGATTCTTAGGTAACATAATTAAGTCTCGTTTACTTTTCTTCTGCAGAAAATTGCAGTGTGGAAGAAGGTTTATGTGATCTACAGCTTCTTCTTTGTCCGAAAAGTCATTGCTCACATGGTCACCTTTTTCTTTTACTGTGTCGTACTTCCCTTGACAATTTTGGTCCCTGAAGTTGAAGTACCAAAGTGGGGAGCAATTTACATTCCTTGCATCATCACCGCTCTGAACTCAGTTGGAACACCAAGGTATGGAGGACCATAGACATGTGACAAACTGATTTGTTTGTGTGCCAGTACAACTTTTATCTGAGTGAAGAATCACAGTATGGGACTCTGCAAATCTGAAATGTACCCTGTAAATATGCAGGTCGATCCATCTATTATTTTATTGGATTCTGTTCGAGAATGTGATGTCCCTGCACAGAACCAAGGCCACATTCATTGGTTTGTTAGAGGCAAAGAGAGCTAACGAATGGGTTGTGACAGAAAAGTTGGGAGATGCTCTGAAGAACAAATCAAACGTCGTCAAAGCAAAACCAAAGAAAATTGGATTGAAGATTGGTGACAGGTGAAAATTCATTACTGTGACTTGTTTTGGGATGCAGCAATATTTGATAACTTCCAAAGGAAAAAGACGATCACTTGCACAGTTTCTCATTCTTTTTGACTAATATAATGGCATCATGGATCCTAACTTGGATCATTGATCTTTCAGAATTCATCTAACGGAGCTGGGATTTGCGGTGTTCCTTTTCTTCTGTGGATGCTATGATTTCCTTTATGGGAAGAACAACTATTTCATATACCTCTTCCTCCAAGTCATAACCTTCACAATTGCAGGATTCGGCTACATTGGTACCATTGTGCCAACCTCTTAGTGACAGGCATATAGCAGCAGCAAGTAGCAATCATTATTGTTACTGTCATTTTCAAGCCTACACAAAAATGTGTATACAAAAGCCTTCTTTTAGTGAAGATTTGGTTGCATTTACTACCATTGAGATAAAACACAAGTATAGAAATGAAGAACTCGAGTCAACAAAACCAGAACTTCATTTCCAAAGGAAAAAAAAGCCCCGTGGCACCGTTAGGAAGACATCAAGAAGAAGATGTTGTTGTGAGCAATTCTATAGATCAGAAACAGCTGAAGCTGCAGAAACCTCAGATGGAGTAGAGCACACATAGATTATGTTTATTTTACCATAGTGATTGTAATTTGTGTGACATTGTGTTTAATCTTGTCAGGTCATTTGAATTTTCAATTTTTCAGCTTGAGAGGAAAATAATCTGGGGGCAACAGGATAAATGTATTACAAGTTTTGCTTATCCTTTTTTCTTTTTTTCCCTTTTCTTTATCAGGTTTTGTTCTTACATAATGTATCAGAACTATTTTACAGGAAACGAAGTGAAGAAGGCTCAATGCTCAACTCTTCTTCCTCTTTCCCACATTTTATCACCAAGTCATTCTCTAAATCATTCCTCCTAGCTATGAGAAAGGAAAATGCGGCATTGATTATTGAATTCTCCGTTTAGAGACGAAAGACAAAATCCTTTGTTTTGGGATATGCTCAATTATATAATTGGAAAAGTGCCCTTTGAAGCCGTTTTTCCATTGAAAAAGAAACACAAAATCCTTTGTTATTGGGAATTTGTTCAATTGCCAAAAAGTCTCTAAAGCGTTTGTTCTTTACAGCCGAAACAAAACAAAATAAAACACAAAAATAACGACTTAAATGGCCTTGTCTATTCATCACTTGTCGCTCTTCATCAGAACTCCATGTGAAATGAAAATGATGCACTTCTTAGACTGCTCTAATTTTGAGAATTGTTTATTTTAATGTCTACATTCAAGAACAAGATTGGAACATGACATGTCACTGTTTCTTGTTACAAGCATCAAAGAGCTTGTGGAAGCCTGCACATGCATTATAGGAGATTATTTGAGGTAATTTTTTGAAAAATATACTGTAATATTTTTTGATGTGACGTATGTGAGATTAAAAAAACGTGCATCAAATTATGCAAATAATTTACAATCCGAGCAAACAAAATGTTTTTAGGGCATTTTTTCTAGTTTTTATGAAGATATATTAAAAAGGGAAAAAATCCATAAGAGTGAAATATCTTTGCTTTTTCCTTTCTCCTTCCTTTTTTCCCCCTAATCCGAGAATATCGAAATTCATCTTGATGTTTCACTCTGAAAACTAAGACATCCTTTTCTTTGAGTCCTGAAAATATGGCACTCAGATTCTGAAGATCATGGAAAGATAAAGCATCAGTTTTTTCAAAATTTTCTATGCTTTTCATTTTGTCTTGGCAAGGAAAGTCATTACAACAATAATAATCATTGTCCCTTAGCAGCCTTTCCGCCATTACTGTTGGAGACAGGAGCCATGAATACGTTTTCATGGCCACTGTCCCCGTCTTGTCCAAGAATCTATATGGATTGTGACTTTGATAATGATTTGGATTTCATTACCACGCCTTTAAAACCACAAGTTATGCTGAATCCTTGTTACCATCATCTCTGATTTTGGTTACATGGGGTCATATCTGATTTGATACATCAATTGAACCATTAAATTGGGTTAAATGTCTCCTCCTCCAATTAAGCCGAAGATTGGTATATATATATATATATATATATATATATATATATTAAAGATATGCATATTAATCCTTTTCGTGTAAGTCTAATTATGAAGCAACTATCCTCAAAAAGAGCAACATTAGATGGAACAGCAACAATCGTCACTACAAACCTGCAAAACTTAGCTCGAGCATGTACTAACTCTTATAAAAAATTTACTTTTGCTGGAGGAATTCCAGCAATTGGCTACAGTTTGATATGTAAAGAGGCCATTGAAACCTAAAGTTGGCTTGCGTGCTGGAGTGGTGATTCAGTGATTCTCTCCTTTTCTTCTCCTCACACGGGTGACCCCCGCAACCCATTTCATGCATGTAATTAATTGCCATCGTATTTGGAAGGAGAAGGAAGGTTTCATCTCATTAATGTTTATGGATGAATTTTCTTTTTCAGCCATCTTAAACATAACTAGAATTAAGTTATCACCTTGTACATGTAATAGCCAGTTGCAGAAGTGTCAATGATGTCTCTTTAGTTCCTGCGAAAAAGATAAAACATTTATTGGGACCAAAGTTTGATGGACCCATATATATTTTAGTTCTGAACTGATTCTGATTTTCTGAAAAACTAGTTTTTTTGAGAAGTCAAGATCAGAATCCAAAAGCAAGTATCTTGTAGTTTCTCCAAAAAAAAAAAAAAAGGCCAAAGTTAGAAAGGAAAAGCAGTTGAGATTGAGTACAGGGCAGAGCCATTTTCAATGTCAATTATGGCTGTTTAATTAGGTCTTATGAACATCATAAATGCCAAAGGTTTGTTAGGTCTTATGGCTGTTTAATTTTCAGTGTCAATTATGGCTGTTTAATTAGGTCTTATGAACATCATAAATACCAAAGGTTTGTTTGGCACCAAAATCATAAACCATATTTAAACAGTCATTTTTAATTGTCAATTACGTCTGTTCTGGTATCATGAAGGACATAAAATACCAAAGGCACATTTGGACAAATGTTCGAACCATATTTTAACATTCATCCTCAAGAATGGCACGTATTGAAGTGTAAGGAACACACATGTAGATGTAGGTCAAGACGCCCATGTCACAGTGAGAAATCTTGGACCCTTGATAACAGATTCTCTATGAAGCTTAGGAAAAACAGAAGAAAACTTCACGTACTTAACTGATAAACTAAAGTCAGATTTGCTAGTGTGTTTAGACTCGTATCACCTGCAGCAAAGCTCTACAATCTTCATCAATGTTACAAAAATTATGTTAAACATGAAATTAGTACTTCACATAATCTATCTGTCTGCCTGGTAGTGTGTGTACTGTGTGTGTCAACGAATGACTAATTCCGAGAAACAATCAGAATGTGTCAATCTGGCTAAAGCACAAGGAGCAGCTGCTTTAAGCTATGCCCTTTTCCCACTACATATATATATAATTTTGTATAATTGTGTGTCGGTGCATGATACATATCTGGAAGCTAGACTTGGGAGCGGACATTGATAATTATTGAAGGGATCTATCTAGATACTTGCTCTGAAAAGTTCGTAGTGCACTTCTTGATAATCATCTACCAGCCAATATCTATGCTCCTGGTAGGACTTGATATATGCATTAAAAACAGGCTGGATGAGTGGAAATTTTAGTCTGGGCTTTCCATGTTTAATTAGCTTTTAATAGAGCTCTCCAACATTAGTCTCTCAACCAAGTTTCTTGTTCTGTAAACTGTTTCAATTCAAACTAAAGGCACATTTGTAGGTAGCAAGACCCAATGACAAGAATGAATGGCTTAAATACCACCCATGAAGAAGTTTTAGTGTTCATGTGGTCCATTTTAATCATGGAGGAGTAAAAGAAACTTGAATGCAATATCAAAATTTATCCAGTTTTTTATAGCTCAATACCGAACTCATCTCTTGTAGTACTGTACAGTTGTATTTTGCTCTTATAGAAGAACCCAATTCATCCTATCAATTGTATTTGCTATTGCAGGAAAAGTGGAATTTCTATCCATTGTGCAAGTGACACTTAGCAGAAGAACTTTAAAGGACTTTCATCAGATAACCTGCCCAGCACTTTAATACAAGAACTTTTAAGGACTTTCATCAGATAACCTACCCAACGGCAAACAAGATTGATGACTTCCCTCCACGAGAAAAGATAAAGAGTGGGGTAGAGAAAGACGAAAAGGATAAAACATGTGTTTTAGGGATTGGTAGATTACACCTTCTGTAGCAGAAGGCCAGCACGGCGGCAGCACCGGCATTGGATCTTCAGTTTCCATTTTCCAGGCCTGCATGTGCAGTTATATATAAACATAAAAATGGCCACTACAGCCTTGGCAAACCTGTCCCACTGGCTCTTAAAGATTGCCTGTCCTCCTGACAAGGACATAGATAGATTGTAAAATTGAACCATGCCCTTAGATAGCTCTTGTTTAATTGAATGGAGTCTATAGCAAGTGTTTCTTTGGATGCATGTGGCGGTGTGCAAAATTTCAATTTTCAACTACCAAATTTCCAAGATATAAAGAATTGACACCAAAATGTGATTACATTAATATACAAGATCTTTCTACACATCTTTTCCAAAGTGCAAAATCAATTTGAGTAATGCAGACGCAACTATAATTTGCCCCATCAACATTTCGAACAATTTAAGCCCCAAATTCCGTTTGGTCCAATTTTACTTCCAGATTAACATGGAAAACCAGAGCTGTGGGTGTATAAATGTTTTTCCCATCAGACACCAGAAAAATCTGTAGCGCACGCAGCAATAGACAAAAACACACAACAAGGGTCTGCAATAGATAAATGAGTGGAAAAAGGGATAACAATCAGAGGCATAGTGTAAATTTTCTTGAACATGTTTAGAATAGGACCAACCATTCTTTTTTTGGTGGTCCAAAGTCAAATAAGTATAAACCTTAGGACTGTTTGGTGAGGAGTCTTCTCATTCTGCTGGATCTGTTTTTGCGTTTGTCAGTGGAAACTAGTCTTGTCCCCCTCTTATAGGTTGGCAAACTGGCTCCGTTACTCCCCACACCCTTCAACTTTGGGAACTACCAGAGTCCTTAAGACCCATTCCGCCAGTACAATGGGGTCGTTCTTCGCTGTGATGTACGGCACCCAAACAAAGGAATATTCGGGCTGTTTACTTAGAAAAATATCTCACTTCCCCACTTATGATTTATGAAGTAGCAGAAGTAAATCTTTACCGATGTACACAACAGCCACAGTTCACGAACCAAGTTATCTGTGAACTTTTTTTTCTCCTTTTATTAAAAGAAAATCAACAGTGATTCCTCGCTTAATCTCTTGATGACTCGAACCAGTGACATATCGTCGGGTACAAGTACAGCATGCTTTGTTATCGAGTTATTTGTGAACTTAACTTGCCACATTTTGTTGAAAAAAAAACCAAAGCACTAATGCTGTTAAATTCAAACCTCTAGGAATTGATCAATTGTCGGCAGGCTACTTAGGATGCTCAGCATATCATTTCCTAAAGTTTACAGGGTCCTCAGAAGGGCCAATTTGCATGTTTCCGAGGGCTTTAATTGTTTAGGATATTTCCAACTATTAGCTATCAGCGATTAAAATTTGGGCAATATATACATGAATTAACAAAGCAGAGTAATTTTAAGAAAATCATATGAATCCTGGAAGAACCCACACCACATCAAGAGCTAGCTATTGTCCGAGGTGATGAAAGTGGTGTTAGCTCTTCGACTTCGAGACGAGACGGCCTTCTCAATTTGGATAAAACGGTATAAATTCAATCCCATGCTTACTACTATGTCGGATTAGTTTGCAATTAGGACATAACATATAAATTCTTGGACTGACACAGAAGCCGGCTTGAGCAACAACTTGATTTTGATGCCAAGAGACTTTCAACACGAGGAGCTTATGTAGATTGAATGAACCTATTGTCCCTATTCCCTTGCAAGCTTCAAATTACCATCTTAATCAACCTACCAAACTTCAAAGTTGGTTTCCAGACATGGGGTTCATTCCTTTTGATCAAAAGTGTTGGAAACAAAATCTGCCTAGTGGGCTTAGATCAAGTTACAACCTATAGTTTCTAAAGGCCAAAAACCAAAAACGAAGCTTGATGATCATCCAATTTACGGTCCTATCAAGGCCTTGGTTGGATTTCTTTTTCCAAAAAATAATTTACATTTTTTATAAACACATTTTCTGATCACTTTTTTCGCCTCATACACGTCAAACCACCAACTCGAGAAAATAATAATTCAAACGGGCTCTAAGTTTTGTGACGAGCTCAAACACTAGTTTTGTTGAACAATCGTGGCGAGAGGCTGTAGCTTGGGACTAGGAATGGGTTTCAAGTTTCAACATCGAACAACTTTCGAGGCCACAGACTGGAATAGTATTTTATATGCAACGGCAGCGGAGAATACTCATACCCAAGGGCCGCTTGGAGAAGCCTTATCATAGCAACGAAGCCCTCAAGGGCTGTTGCTCTCGTTGCCAATTCAACTCGAATCGGTAATACTGTCGTTCATTTTGGGCTTCCTTAGGCATCATTATCTATTTCATTTTTTTTGGGTTCAATGATTTTTTTTTTTTTTGGTCTAAGTGAGAGGTATAGAATTTAAAATCTATAATCTCTCTAATCTTATCATCTAATCCAACCTTCCTCTGAGCTCCAATGAACTTGATTAGCTTAATGATGCCAGCAGCGCGTGTATTTGATTTTATTTTTTATTAATTATTTTTTAACTCTTTTCACTAATTGCTCTTATATTTCCCTTTTGGTGTGGAAATATCACCCAGGCAAAACCATTTTAGCTTAAAAAGAAAATGCGTGTGTATACACACACACACACACACATATATATACACTCATATTTTTTAAGTAAATTATTATTTCTTCTTTGGACAAAAAAGAAAAAATCCTTAAATTTCTTAGTGCACTATATTTATTTGATTCCAAGTTTACTTGTTAGGCAATATGATCGTTATAAACCTTCTAAAATGGTTAATGTGTAAAACCAGTTTTTCTAATATGAAAATGCAAGTCTTTTGTTTTTGTTCTTTCTTTTTAAATGTGGTTTGATTGTTATTGATTAAGTGAAAAAAAAAGAAAATTGAAAATCATAATTCTTTGTGATATCCTTTTACATATGTAGAAACTGCTTTTATTTTATGAGTTTGGTACACATTTATTTATGATAATTTTTCTTGCCATGAAATCTTAATTCTTTTCCATTGAAGTTAGCTTATATAACACCAAGATTTGTATTATTAACAAAAGCGTTTGTAGTCCAACGGTTAGGATAATTGCCTTCCAAGCAATAGACCCGGGTTCGACTCCCGGCAAACGCAACAAATTTTCTCATTTCGGTTTTTCTGTTCCCTTTTTTCGCAAAATGAAATTCCAATAATGGTGGCTGTGGGGTTCGAACCCACGCGCACTTATGTGCAGAAGATCTTAAGTCTTCCCCCTTAACCTCTCGGGCAAACCACCGGTGATCCTCATTATAAAATTATCGTCTCATATTATAATCCATCGAAGGACATCCTTGCGCCAGTCGAATCATCCAGAAGGTGAAAATTTTCCTCCTCATATAAAATAATAAAAACTACACCGTACCATTATCGAAACAGAGAGAAGTAGGGAAAAGCAAGAAGTACCAAACCTAGAACTTCAATTGTCTCGATCCTTTTATCATATTGAGCTGTAAATTCATCAATTGCAGCTGCGGGAGGAGGAGGACGTGGTGGAGAATGGCGGAACACTTGGCCTCGATTTTTGGGACCGAGAAAGACAGAGTGAACTGCCCTTTTTACTTCAAGATCGGAGTTGCCGTCACGGCGACCGCTGTTCTCGCCTCCATACCAAGCCTAGCATCAGTCCGACTCTGCTTCTCTCCAACATGTATCAACGGCCTGATATGATTACTCCTGGCGTCGACGCCCAGGGCCAGCCGATCGACCCTCACAAAATGCAAGAGCACTTCGAGGTTTGCAATTTTTCAAGAAGATTGTTGCAATTTTTTAAGAAGATTGTATTGAATTTCTCAACTGCATTACAGATTTCATGTTAGGGGATCGATTGAGCTATGGATTTTTGTTGTTGTTTTCAGCTATAATTGATTTGTGACACATTGGTTGAATTTTTAGGTAGTTTCAATTAAATTTGACCACATGTTTTCATATGCGTGCTTTCGTGTGTGCTTTATTGTGAGTGGATGTTTGTCTTGTCGTGTGAACGTTTATAATTTTTTTTCGGAAAAAGGATGTCAGGTTCAGCTAAATTCTGTCTGTTTTGTAGGAATTCTGTTAAATTCTAACTGGATTTTTTTCTGTCCCTATTATTGGTTATAGGATTCTTTGATGAATATGACATGAGTCTTAGGCACGGAATTTTCTTGAATATTAGGGTATGAACTATAACTGCAAGGTATAATGCATACTGGCGCATCCTAGGTTTTGCGGACAGGAATTGGAGTCGGAATTTGTGTTCAATTGTATGTAGCTTTGTACTAGAGGAACATCTGCTCCCGCTCCCGTTTACCTTGGAAAGGAACAGTCTATTAGATGATTAGTTCCTTATGGACTCTCTGTGTTGTTTGATTGTGTACTGTGTGCCTTCTTTTGTTAATTGCTAAAAGGTATTCATGCTTTCTTATAACTTGTAAATTTGTGTGCATGTCCAGACGTGCTGCAGCTGGTTGATAGCATGTGAAGATTTCTAGTTTTTTTTCATGTTGTGCATAGATGCTGTATTCACATAGGCACGTGAATATTCTAATTCTGTCCTCGTTTACAAAGTTTTCTTATGATGAAGATTGGTGCCTCTAATTGCCTTTACAATTTCTTGAGCATGTGGTGCCATTAAGGAACATTATAAAGTATTACAAACCATGTATGTCAGGATTCAGTTACATTATGTTTGATTTTGTGTTGGATAGTGGCCGTTTGTTCCCTCTTTGCTTAGAGTTTAATGTGCTTCAGTGGTGGACGTTTCTGTTGAATTTGCAGGATTTCTATGAAGATCTTTTTGAGGAGCTAAGCAAGTATGGTGTGATTGAGAGCTTGAATATTTGTGACAATTTGGCTGACCACATGGTAATTTTCTGACAACTAAATTCAGATTCCTCTTTCCCTAGTTTTTCCCTAGTTGAGTTGCGAATTGACAGGTCAAATGTCTATGACGGTGTGTTTGCCAGGTTGGAAATGTCTATGTCCAGTTTAGAGAGGAAGAGCAAGCAGCAAATGCATTGAAAAATCTCACTGGGCGGTACTATGCAGGTAACGTTTTTGATTTTCCTCCTCATGTTTTCCCGTTAGTTTTTTCTTCTATTTGATGATACAAGTTGTGCGATTTAGAGTTCTGGGCTTTGCAAATTATTATGAGGGTAATACTTGATTGTGGCACCTCTGCAGGACGGCCCATTATTGTTGATTTTTCGCCTGTGACTGATTTTCGTGAAGCTACTTGTAGACAGTATGAAGAAAATACATGCAATCGTGGTGGCTACTGTAACTTCATGCATCTCAAAAGGATTAGCAGGTAATGTTCTGTTGTGGTTGAAAAAAAAATCAATAAATTTAGATTAAGTGTTTCATTTGGTAACAAATTTAACTTGTGAAATTAGGGAATTGCGACGTCAGTTATTTGGGAGGTATCGCCGAAGGCGCAGCCGGAGCAGGAGCCGAAGCAGAAGCCCTTACAGGCATCGCAGCCATGAAGAGCGTTCCATCGTCACAGTAGAAGGTATGAAGACAGAGATTATCACCATGAGAGTCGAAGCAGGAGGCATAGGAGCACCAGTCCTGACCGTAGGAGGGGAAGAAGTAGGAGCAGGAGTCCAGGTGGCAGGAGAGATAGAAGTCCTGTTAGGGATGGTAGTGAAGAGAGACGTGCTAGGATTGAAATGTGGAACAGAGAAAGAGAAGAAGCAGAACTAGCGAATAAGATCAATGATAATAGCAGCAACAGGAAAAACGAAAGCGAGGACAATGGGTATGCACAAAATGGAGATCAGTATTATCGACAGGAGCCACCATATGGATATTGAACTGACAGTGGTTCGTTTTCTTCTCTCATCATTTTCATTTATCTTTGCTCCTTAGTTGAATTTCTTTTCAAAGGAGGAGCCACCTGTTGTCTAAATGTAGCTTACTGCGCATTTTCCACTGTGCAGGTGGTGTGCAGGTTTACAGTTCTGTGATATGGCTTGTGAAAAAAATATGCACCCTTTTTTGGCTTTCTGATTTCATCATCTTGTGTCTGTGCTTGAATGCATTGCATGATCTTAGTTTGATTGTAGCCAGCCACAGTGTAAAAACTAATCTGTGTTGTCTGTGCATCTATAGCTCATACTGTCTTACATCATCATTCATGTCTTTTCTGTCATAACAATAGTAGAGATGAGTTGATGGTAAATCTTTTTATGGTTCTTTAAAAATTTTTGAAGGCAATCCATGAGTTAGATTTTTTTTTTCTTCATCCCTGTAATGGGAACAATTACTTGAGGAGTTTCATTGCTTAATTATTTAAGGTAATTTCCGGTGTAAATTTTGCGTTGGGCGAGTTTTTCAAGCCTGACATCTTTTAAACACGCTTGAGGGAGCCCTTCACTTTGATATTTTGATTGCATAGACTTGGTGTTTTCGGTTCTGTGTTAGTTGTGATGTTGTTGCTTGTTGATCAACTTTACCATGTCTGTCTCAATGTCATTTTTAGCTCATGGGCAGATCTTGTCATGATTGTCGTATGTTTTCCTGAGCTTTGTTCCTTTTTTCTTCTTTTATGTAGAAGCAGAATGCTTCTAGTAAATTTATACATGACTCATGGGTAGGGTCTTGTGCAATTAGTTGTGGTCTTGGTTTATGACATCATTGGGAAGCCGTGTTGTAGTAGGAATACAAGCTGTAATAATGCATGCAGTGTGCATTTTTCGTTTATTATGTGTGTGCAGTGCATGTTTCTGAATTCTATGTGCAGTCAGGTATTCTGTCACCGCAACAAAACCAGGCTAGTGACCTTGAACTTGTATTTCTGCTCTGAAATTTACTTTAAAAAGTATTATCTTACAGCATCTCGAGTTTTGCAGGTCCAGGTTTCCCTGCTTAAAAGGACCAAGAATATATTTTAACTAAGGCTTACCATGGAATGTGTACAGGTTCTGCCAAGTCAGAGAATATGATCCAACAGGTTTGATGTGACAGGGATGTGCAGGATTTCAAGGGCATAGAAGACTAATGGATGCTAGAGTGCCTTTGGCTCCTGAGCTGAATTGTTATGATGAGCATAATCTGTTGTAAACTTTTTCAGGTGGTTGTGTAGGTTGGCTGATGGGAATTGCTGTTTTTCCTTCGTTGGGTATACGCTCTAGCTATTCGTAGACTGAACAGTTTCTATGAAGTTTTTCATTTTGTACTGGTTTGTAATCATATAAGACGAGCGCAATGCAATCTTGGGAGTTTCTCCTTGGTTTACTGATGAGTTTTGCGAGCATCTCTGCATTTTTGTTATGGAGCGCAAATAAATGAATGGGATCCCTATGTCAGTTCTGCCTCAAGTACGGTAAGGATAAAATTCCCATTAACATTAAATTCACACCATCTGAACTCATTAGAAAACAATAATAATATGTTCAGCTTTTGAAGCATGCTTGGTGGTGGTTTTAAACAGAACATGTTTTAACAATAAACAAGAAGCCAACGATTATCTTTTCTGTCTTTTGTTTTTTTTCTGTTTTTTGTTTTAATATAACAAGAAGCCAACTCTAGGCTCTGAAGTTCTGAACGAAACCCAGTAATGGGATAGACACCGACAACATATGCCAAGAATAAACTCATGCGAGGTGAGTCTATATGAGTTTATTTAAAGAGAGTATTAATATTTATGGTCATTTTGGAAGTTTATAGAAAGCCTATCAGTATCAAAACACATATTTTTAAAGAAGGAAAACTTAATGTTTTCACTTATAAACAAAATGGTTCAATAAATAGCTCATTGATTACTCGAACTAGTAATGTATTAGTTACGAGTAAGGATTTTGCTATATGAGCTGTGTTCGTTGTGCTGATATTAGTTACAAGCAAGCATTTTACTACCTGAGTTATGTTTCATTGTGTCGAACATTTTATTTCTGCTTGAGAGCATTAATTTAATTAGCAATCTATAATTTTTCAAGAAAATTAAATTTATAATCTAGACACTAAAATCAACAACCTAGAATTTGATTTATTTCTGCTATTTGATTATGCATAAATTAATACTAAGACAATTTGACAAATAGAAAATTAACACTGAAATTGGGATGTGCATTTTATCTGTCTATCTGAAAATAAAATACTCTGTTCTTTCATATTCTTGTGTGGAAAGGCACTTATCAAAATTGTAAAAGTTAAGAAGATTACTACCTACCTAATATATGTCCAGGATAAAATACGAAGGGTGTCCACCAGTGTTTTAACACCTCCCCAAAATTATACGTGCGATAGCGGGTGTCCAGTGGTTTTAAAACGTCCAAATACGTTTTGTCATCCAAATTGGTACAACTGCCCTGCAAAATCATTTACACTATACATGTGGTAAAGATTTTATTTATTTATTTACGTAATCCCTCTCAATCCCAACAGCCAAGAACAACATCTGGATCAGCTAACAAACTTTCTGTAAATATATGCTTCCTTATCGTATCAATCATATTTCCCTCAGAGCTTCTATCTACCAATTTGTCAAAAGTTTCTTTGATAAGCAACGGAGGGCACAAGGTATTTTCGTCCGAAATCGATCATATGATAGTTGGCCAGCACCAGTTCAGAGGCGGCATTATTATAAGAAGGGGTTTTTTCCCTTCATCCAATGGCTACACCTGAGCTTTTTGTTCTTTGAGAAATAATCCAAATGGCATCCCTCGTCTCGAGTTGGTCTTCCGACTTGAAATGCTTGCCTGATAACTATGTGTTACCTGAGGGAAAAAGGCCAGGAATGCCTGTTCCAGTAAGCAATGATATACCAGTGATTGATCTCGGAGACGGACTAGATTACAGCAGAGCTGACATGGTCCAGCAAATCGCGAAAGCTGGTCAGGATTTTGGACTATTTCAGGTTAATCTGTGATTAATTGACTTAGCGCCAAATTCACAAATGTTGTAGCCAGTTTTATTTTTTAGATATCAGGTAATTTGGATTGTATGTAATATGTGAAACAGGTGATCAACCATGGAGTATCAAAGGAGTTGATGGCTGATGCTATGAATGTGAGCAAAGAGTTCTTTGGCATGTCCCCTGAGGAGAAAGCAAAGTACTATATTGACTCCGTTGCATTGGAAGAAAAGGCCGGATGCAGACTCTATACAAGTTCTGGGTATTTTTTGGCTCAAGGTTTCGATTTCTGGAAGGATACTTTGCAACACCCTTGTCATCCTCTGCAAAACCACATCAATTCTTGGCCCGACAAACCTAAGAACTACAGGTAACCATAATTTTTGCCGCATCACATTGGGTTTCAGGATACCTGCTCATTTCTGTCATCTTTACATGGAACTGTTTTTTTTTTTTTTGGGACGGGAAAACTGATAGGATGATGATAGGTATTTGATCAAACTAAGGGGGAGGTCTGAAAAAAAGTAATGAAAAGCTCCCCGGATGCTCGAAAAACTAACATAATCAATTGATTAATTCTATTTTGACTGATGACATGATTAACTTTCCTGTTCAGAGAGGTTATGGGACCATACACAACTCAAGTGAGGAAAGTGGCCATGAAAATTATGGACATGATCTATCAAGGCTTAGGGCTTGAAGCGGACGACACTGAGAAAGAATTCGACAACTATAATTTAGCTCTCTCCATCAACCATTATCCAGCATGCCCAGACCCTGCATTAGCCTTGGGTTGCTGCAGACACTGTGATCCTGCAATCCTAACTCTTCTTCAGCAAGAGGTGTATGGGCTCCAACTAGAAAAAGATGGCCATTGGATTGGCGTTAAGCCCCTTCCTGATGCATTTGTGGTGAACATAGGTTTGTTACTGGAGGTATAGACTTTTATCTTCTCCACAATCAGTTAAAACTTGCCTTTCTCAAAATATGTATGTTCCATATATGATACTTCTCCAAACTTCAGGACTATTTGGGCTCTTCTGCTGCATTTTTGTACAGGTCATTAGCAATGGAAAGCTAAAAGGTGCTGTGCATCGAGCGGTTACAAATTCAGCTTGTTCCAGGAACTCACTTGTGACCTTCGTAGGTTGCCCAACTGATGTCACTATTAAACCTGCAGCAGCGCTTATTTCTCCCACCAATCCACCGCTTTATCGAGCATTCAACAACAAAGACTTTCATGAGTTTGTGTTTGCCAATAACGCTGAATTTGAGGCTGTTATTGCATACTTAAAACTCAAAACCTAAGCCAGAAATTAGCTGTGCTACATTTGTGGAGAAGCCAGAATCAATCTATAATTCCAAGTACTACTGTTTTGGTTGGCCTAAAAAAAAAAAAAAGAAATCTATAATTTCAGGTGGTATGGAACGCCGCCTTAAATAATCGAGCAGCCACTTTCTTTTCAGCACAATGTTCCGTACTAAAAGGAGCGTATTAAAATAAGACATTCGCATTTTTAAGAGGATTAATAGTGATTTCGACATAGTATCTCATGTTTTTGCAAACTATTTTGACGCTGATCATTAATTTCAGAGTTTCGTTTTGTTTTTTTTTTTTTTTGTAATATAATGCAAACCCTTGAAGCAACAAGGTAACAAGTATTTTTTTTGGTAAGATTTTCGCAAATAAAATACAAGTATTTGCAAATAAAAGTACAAGAATACTAAAATGTAAACCCTTTAGATGAATAAATATTCTGAAGCATATAGCCGTTGCAAAATTGTAGTATACCAATACAAGGATACGAGCTACACAAAGCTTTATTAATCTATCCCTATGCAAAATTGTAGAACTATAATAAGTATTACTAAATCGACAATGCATCTTCGCGTGTGTAGTACCAAAATCGTGCTATTCAAAGTAGAGATCAAATGACTGTAACCTTGAAGATTAAATGCAGAGTTTCAGTTTTTGCTGGTTCTTGTTTGATGTGATACAACAGTAAACGTTTACATAATTCAACCCTCTCAATTTTTAAGCAAAAGAACCCGAAGATTAACAATATTTCCTACTGAAATTTCGAAACATCTCTTGAAGGCCTTTTACTACTCGAAAAATTCACCTCAATATACCATGACCAAACAAGTACATTGGCAGGTAACAGCACAACAATATTGTAATAAATCCCTTGAGATAAATAAAAATCCTGAAGCACATAGCAGTTGCAGAAACTACAGTATACACTATAACTAAGGATCCCAAGTCTCTATATATCACTATGCAAAATTGTAGACCTATAATAATGAGAAGTATTGCTAAATCCCCAATGCATCCGTATGTCTGCAGTACCAAAATCGTGACAATCAAAAGCAGAGATCTAACCACATTTTATTTACCACCATGCTTAGCCTTGGCACGAGACTGTAGAGCATTCTTAGAATTGAATGTCCTGGAAAAAAAATTAGAATAAATGTCAATGTCATAGGGACAGAGATGAGGGACAAAGAAAAGGCCTTTAGATGGGGACAAACTTGCTACAGGATTTGCCAGATACTTGACTGCCAGACTTTCCATTTGCAGATGGACTTTTCCCACCTGCATGAATGTAGCAGAATATATGAGAACGAATAATAGTTACGAAAAAGCACCACAATATCAGCTATTCTTTGCTGCCACATCTTTTTGTCCCGAAACAAAAAGTTACTCAGATATATGTGGTTTTAAGCAAATTATGGCTGGAAAATATGAGATGCTGCTTGTGGTCATCCTAAACACAGAGCCTCTACGCAACAAAATCTTTCTTGCTTCGACATGAAAACTATCATTAAAGGAATCTAAATTTTTGTACATTAAAAAAAATAAAGGGAAAAAAAACTTGAAACAAGAAATTTATTAAAGATATAGGGCAATCCCCTCGCTTTGCCAGCATAATGAAGCAGCAAAACGGCCATGGAGGCCCCAAAGAAAGCATCAATATGCGCCCATCACACAGAAGTGTGCCACATTTAATGAACCTCTCTCTGTGGAATACCACGCGCCGCCACTTGTTTTATGTGGTCAGCGCTCGGCCTAAGGCGCTAGATAATGAACGCTAGGTTGATGGTTATTTGACACCTAAAATTTTAGGAGCTTGATTAATTGTTTAATCAAATACCAAAAAAAAAAATTTACCCAATATTTGAGGTGCAGCTGATTTTGTTTTCTTTGCTGCCACTGGAACAAGCATCTCCGTAGCAGTTTCAGGTGGTCTTTCTTCCCAGACTTGGTCTTCAAAAGTTAAAAATAATTCGTGAAGTCAGACATTTATTAGTACTGCAATAATTGAATGTATACTTCAGGTGACACTACTTTTGAGATACCATATCTTGATTCTCATCGTCGCTGTCTTCTGAGTCCTGAAAAGGATACCAAAGAGCTAATGAATATAAATAAGAAACAAGAAGGTGAAGGGGAACAAAAAGTCAGCAAGCAGATTCTAGAAGAAGAGGATATGTTGACAAGAATTTCTTTCAAGAAACCAAGAGAAAAGACCAAACTGAAGCTAAATAGGAATTCTCAGATGCTTCATAAGCCCTAAGACTACTGCTTCAACAATTTATCAATAAATAACGCACAGAAAACACAAACATGCCACAAGCAGTCAATTCTTCAATCATTACTGCTCTAAAGAAAAGATATGTCAAGACCCACGTAATGACTAGTTGACTACATTCCAGTCTAACTATGGAACTTGAACAAGAATGCATATAAGATGAACATTGTTTCTCTTTTCCTCTTCATTTCCTTCCATTCTTAGAGATGAAAACCATAGTACACAATTCCTCTCATATGGTAAATGGCTCTATGATATCAACTTATTCAGGTCACTCAAATTTCTTTGTCTATTCAGGCACAAAAACATTAGGATTTATAAACATATAACAATGGTAACCCAAAAGATTAAGAAATCAATTTTAAGAGAGTTCATAGTGATTTTTTAGGACAAAGTTCATACTGTATCTGCTGAGGCATCACTTGAATCCTCTTCCATCTCACTAATTTCCTCTCCTTCATCATCATCTTCACTAACATCACTGTCATCATCATCTTCAATTTGATTCTGTCTTGTCTTTCTTTAGCTCCACCTTCTTCAATATTGACTTTTCCAAGGGCTTGGGCTCAGCAGGAAGAGCCTTATTCGTAGCAGACTTCGGGCCAACATTAGGCTCAAGTTTGGCTGACAAGTTTAATGAGGAATCAATTAATTTGGACGCGCAAGAAAAATCATGGTAAAAGTTATCAACAAGCGCTAAAGAGAGCAAAAGCACTGCTAAGTACTAGCTACACCAAAAGCAGAGACAAAATGACTACCATTTTGAAGTTCATCAACTTGATTTTCCTCCTCTTCATCTTCATCGGAGAAATCTTCACCATCTTGTGAGATAAGAAGTAAGATTAGAAACATCATAAGAAAAGAGATGACGTCAATAACCCTATAATGGATAAAAATGGCAAAACTCACCTCTATGGCTTTCGAGTTCAGTGAAGACAGAAAAGATATTGTCAAGGAAATTATACATTTAAGCGAGACAGAAAGCATGCCATGATACCTTTAAATGCAAGATGACTTTTTATTAAAAAATTTCATTGCTTTGAATGCATTAGCATATTCTAAGGACAGATTAGGAGCTTGTAATCAGCGTGAACATGTCATAAACCAAAGTAAAAGGATATCTACTGTCATCATCAGCAATGTATCCAGCGAAGTAGATGCTTCCATCTTTCCAGTCATGTGAGAGCTCAAATTCTCTCTCAAAAACCAAGTCAAACATCAACTGTGGTCTATCCTCTGCTGAAAGAGTCCCCATAACATATTTTTTGTCGCCAACCTTCAAAATGAATCGGAACACACTTTGGCCCTTTTCCATCCTTTACCTCACCCAAAGCTGCCTGCAAAAGTTAAAGATACATTTTTTGTCATGAAAGCATGCGTAACTTCCTGTAAAACTAATTAAGTATTCTTCAGACCATTAAACCTATACTCTAGTAAAATGGGTCTATGTAAAAACTTACGACCTGGGAGATGTGAATAAGCCTGAACACTTCAGGTTTGACCTTCAGAGGTTCTCCAGGCTTGACTTCAACACCTGAAAATAGAAGGTAGATATTAAGTACACAAAGCAGGCATTTTTTCAAGCAAAATAAGAAAGATTGAATTGTTTTCACAATGAGTAGAAAAAAAAAAACTTTGAATTGTAAGATAAATCATCGGAATGAGAAATAACAATTGCTAGCTCTTAGAATAACCTTATGAAAGTTATTAACATCAGATGAGTTAGCATTAATATCAAAAACAACTTGGTTATACTATACAACTCAGGCACCAAAAAATTTACGGGAATAAAGACTCAATTTCTACCCTGCAAAGGGTCTATAAAAAGGCTGCTCTTCTGTACAATTGAATAAATATCGTGCAACTATCTCATAAGGCACTCAATGGCAACTTTTTTTCCACAAAGACAGCTGATTGAATGATAATTAGAAGTATCCAGGGTTGAAAAAGAACAGCTATCCTGACCTTAAAGCCTGAAAACTAGTCCAACAGAAAGCGAAGCTTACCCCAAAACTCCATTTGCAGAATATGATGGACGGCCAATGGGAGTACGAAGATGAAAAGGGGATGGAGAGAAGATGAGTCTTCTTCTTTGGTCTGAAGAGTCTAAAGAGGCGGAAAGAAGTGCAGGGTTTAAGCAGGGTTTTAAAGAAGTATACTCAATACCGTATTATAGGGAAACAGGTTTAGTCGCCCCAAATAGCTACGGCCCAATATACAAACCCTAGGGCCTTCTGAGCATTTTTTGGTGTAAGCGTCCATGAACAATAAAAAGTTCCTGGATCACAATTTTTTGGTGTAAGAGTCTCTAAAAAGTTCCTGGAGCACAATTTGTAAACATGGAATAATTATTTTCCTTTCCAGATTCTATTGCAAAATTTTTTTGAAGATGCTGTATATTTCTGTAGTAATTTCCCTTTCTAGATGCTCCTAGTAATTATTCCATGTCATTTAAGGTGGTGTATATTTCTTTTTGTTTTCTTCGGTCAACAAGGTAAGTCTTAGATAGGTATTAACTTGCTATAATTCGAGAGGAAGTCATAGAAAAGTGCACTACATATTTTAAGGGGAAAAAATTATGATTGATTATTTTTTTTAGCATCGAACTTGGAAAATGAATAATATCTCAGGATGCCACCCTAAAATGCACGAATAATATTACTAATTAGATTTATATGTTGATTTTATGTATTTAAGAAGAGGGCTTTTGAAGCAAATGCATCGGTTTCAACTTCGTACATGTATGTTGAACTAGGTACTTAAATTTGTAATTTGGCATATCAAATACGAAAATTAAAATCAAACCATCAATTTAAAGGTGTATGTAGTTTAACCTTAAACAAATGCTTCTTAGCATAATAGACAAAATTACAACAAGTCAAATATGTAATGCTAATGTCCCCGCAAGTAGTCTGATTGGTTCCGTAATTTGATAGTTATCAGGTCTCGTGATCGATCCCGTGTACTACCTCGCTATGTATCCTTATGGCAAGACTCTACATTGTTTTAGAGGATTAATCCAACTGAAAGACTGGAATATCCCTGAATGAGGGAAAAAACTGTAATGCTAATGCTGTTAATAACAAGTTGAACTTTATGCATTAATAAACGGCTGAGAAAGGTGAAAAATGGTTGTAGATGAGTAAAATGGTTATAGCTTTCATGAAGCACAAGCTATGCAGAAGCATAGTTGTTAGGATCCTGATCTAGATCAAGGCTAACGATCCAAATTGTAAGTAGGATCGAAAATTAGCCTTAAATTAACAAGATCAATGGGGTCATGATCCGGATAGTAGGATCGTACATAGGATCGTACGATCTTACAATCCCGATATGATCCTACTATTTTTAATAAATTAAGTAACAATTTTAGTATTTTGACCATATCTTTGTATAGAAAAATCGAAATTGAGTGCCGTTTGTTGCGTTGTAAACTATATTCAAAGTGCTTTAAATCCATGTAAATAACTAACCCAATTCCAAACCTAGAAAATTTGACTCATCTTTAAATTTGACTCATATATGCACTAAAATGAATAGATGATCTTTGTTATAGGGTATCATATGGAGCTAGTGTTTGTGTCTTTATTATAATAAATTAATATGGTTTAGAGTCTTTAGAAATGAATTAATACTTTTGCTAATTCTAAGTGGATAAGTGGTGGGTTATAAATTTGAACCCAAAATACACATTTTTTTAGCACAAAATTCTATTCTCAAAATTTTCTTTAATTATTTGTTTATTGTATACCAATTTTTCTATCAATTATTATAAAAAATGATGTAGCAATCAATCACAAAATCATAGTTAACTAAATGTATTGTGTTTAACTATTTTATTAATAAGATGATTATACACGTATAAAGTCAAATTTTCCATGTATATTGTTCCATAATTGAATTTGGATTTACAACAAGAAAGAACAAGTTGTTTAGTTTAATCAAAATACAATTTGAATATATTATAAGTAGTCCCAAATTTCTCTATGTTTTTTAAATTGTCCGAAATACTTTATATAGCACAATTTTATCCTTAATTAACAATATAATTATATTGATTGCACATGAATTACATTATTTGTCACTATATTTATGAATTGCAAACTTAAAAATTATAAATATAATAATTTATTACATTTTTTGTAGGATCTACTGATGTTACGATCCGATCCTGCCAACCAAAAAAAGGATCCTAGTAGGATCCCGACTTTAAAAACCTTGCGCAGAGAGCAATACAATTTTATCAAAATCCAGATAGAATAAGAGAATTTTCGATAAAAAATTTTAAATATTTCCTAGGCACTAACAAAAAAATTTCAAAACTTGGGAGCCCACTGCGACTTGGGCCCCCTACTAGCATTACCCTTAGGTTTACTAACAAAATTTGGGCTTTAAAGATGTCAAACTTCCGGCGGCCTGCTGCCTGCCTCGGAATCCAGCGGAAGAAATTCAGGGCGGAGAGTATTCTTAGAATTGAAGTACCAAAAACTAGGCATCAAATGACTGGCATCATTTTCCCTTGGTCCAACTTGAAAGTCAGCAATTGGCCAACTCAAAGTTGGGTTGAAGATTAGGTTTAAAAATTTCTTCTCTCTATTGTTGAAAAAAAAAAATGACTGGCATCATTTACATGTGATTTTTTTTGCTAGTATATATCAAATGAATCGTTGCTACTTGCTACCATTCAACTTTGCAGAAAATACGAGGAAAATCCATTTTTTTCCCAAGTACTAATTTTTTGCTTTTGCATTCATGCATGAATAACTATTTCTCCAATCTTGGAAAGAGTGTTCATTTGTTTAGCACTTTCGCAACTTAGTAACTTAGAACTTGATCGTTTTGTTTAATTCACGACACAACAAGTAAAAATTAGAAGCTGTCGTCCGTCGGTCTATAAAATTGTTGGACCAGATTGTAATTTTGTAAATGAGTAAAGTAGAAAGAAGGATAAGGACTCAATACAGTTGTGTTTTGTGCGATTTTATTTCGTCATTGTACATGTTTAAATTTTGGGCAAATTCCACTTTACCCCCCTGTGGTTTAGCATTTTTTCACATAACCCCCCTATGGTTTCAAAAACTATACATAACCCCCTTATGGTTTGGATTAAAGTGTCAAAGTAACGGAAATAGTCACTTGTAACGGCGTCACCTAAAATGTCAAAAATACCCTTATGTAATGTTGAAATTTATGTATTAACCAAGGGGGTTATGTGTATGTTTTGAAAATCATAAGGGGGTTATATGGTAAAGTATTAAACCATAGGAGGGTTATATGGTAAAATATAAAAATCATAGGGGGTTAATGTGTCATGTATTTATAAGGGTAATTTTGACATTTTTAGAAGTTCCGTTACGAGTGGCTATTTCCGTTACTTTGACACTTTAATCCAAACCATGAGGGGGTTATGTATAACTTTTGAAACCATAGGGGTTATGTAAAAAAACGCTAAACCACAGGGGGGTAAAATGTAATTACCCTTAAATTTTTTATGTATAAATACATCATAACATTGCATTAAATATATGTCAAATATTTTTATTTATATGGATTAATCTTATATACACTATTAGTGTATACACTATTATGATTGGATAAATGACACATGAGCAAAATTCGAATTAGGATCACGTGGGACGCTGTACTCTTTTGCCACGTGATCGAAGGCCACTAGCCGCTCGTACACGTGTCTCTAGTTTGAATGACAAGGATAGCGATGAGCACTAGGTCCAATCCATTATTGTCGAAAATATTATCAACTTATTTCAAATTTTTGGCCAGCTAAGCGGACCCTTTATCCCCTCACGTGCCGACAATGATATTGTATACACTGACAATATATATAAAATTTACTCTATTTACTCAGAATACAATAATGTAATATAACTATGCACTAAATAATGTAAAAAGCACAACAATTGAATTGAACCGTCTCAATCGACCCCTCTCTCTTTCCGGGAAGAAGAGGATTATCTTATAGACTAATAACAAGTTCATGTACGCAAATCACCTCTTTGAATGGCTCCATCCGCGTATAACTTATTGGGATGTATCCCAAGTACACCTAGTGCAAAAGCAATTTAAGAGGTAGTTTAACTTATTTGGTACTTCCGCGTGGCATAAGCTGTGAACCCCGCTGTGCTAGGCTGCTAGCACAAAGCGTGGTAGCTTCTTAGCAATTGATACTGGAAAAAGCATGAATGAAGAAATGACCAGGCAAGTGAGTTGTCCAAGGAATAGGGTCTTGTCCTCTCCATTGCGTAACTTATTTTAGTTTCATATTGTAACTTGTAAGAATCTATATATGACTTGTTAATTGCAACGTTTAGAGAAGCTACACGCTATTTGAATAACTTGAAAAAGATCAAGAGAAGATATATTTACACAATAATTTTGTTGCCCGTTTCTTGAGGCTGGAAAATCAATGCTAATTGCCGAGGACCTCATCTATTAAAGACTGCCTTCTTCCCAATTCAGCTATAAATTTACACACAAATTTTAGGCCTAAATTTTCAAATTGGAACAGCAACACAAAGCTAGAGGGCCCTAACTAACTACTAAAAAATAAGGCTCTGTGACATTTGATTTCACAGCATAAATTCCATAAACTTGAGCCAAGGCAGCCCGAACTTGGGAGTAGCCCGTTCAGCTTGCCCCTTACAGCTCGAAGACGACGCCGTTACTGCACCATCACTTTCCGTGCCGCCGCACTTTTTGGGGCACAGAAAGAAATTCCTTGACCCCAATGCCATCAGCTTCTCGTCCCTATTCAAACCTGCGGGACACCGAAGGAATGTCAGTACACCCGGCCAATAATTACCTGACACGTGTATGCTCTGGAAAACGCCCCTCCGTCGTAAATTAAATGGTGAGTATTTAGTTGGGTTAAAAAAAAAAAAAAAAAAAATCGACGGCTGGGATTTTTCGCTTACTTTCTAAGCTAAACTGAGAGTAATGAAGATCGAATCCGGAAGGTTCATTGGCTGCCAGAATCGGACGTCGGCCTTCCTTGGAGTACTGCCGGAGAGCCGCCGCAATGAGCTCCTCCACCGTTGATTCCGGCGACATCACCACCTGAACGGGTCCCAGGCTCCTCTGAATCGTCACGTTGAGGAGAAGCTTCGTGAGCTTCAGAGG